TTAGTTAAAGCAAATGAGTTAGGTGTGTCGATTCGTGCTAATACTGAAGAGTGGCAGGTTTATGGTACAGGTCCAACGTTAGTTGAAGTAATGGGAGAGGAAATTTACAGTGCATACTACAGCAGTATTAGAAGCTTTAATTTGTTTTATATAAATCAGCTGATTGATATAACAGGTACGAGGATGATAACATGGAATAAGCTTCGCGCATTGAGAACAAAGACGTTGAAAGGACGCAAAGCGAAATGGTTTAGCATAATAAAGAAGAAGGTAATTCGGTATATGGAAAGTAGAGAGATAATTGACCGTTTTAAGTCGCCAGATGAGAATTCGATGTTTATGCAAACAAATGCAAGGAAGTTGTCTGACGATCGAAGACGTCGTGAGTAGGTAATCATTAACAAAAAGAATTCAGAGTCAATAGTTAGTAGAATAAGGAAGAAAAGAAAGACACAGGTGTTAGTCGACCACTAGGTACCTGAGACTTCAACCGATAGTAAAGGCATTTTAAGAAAGTGCAAACATTGTAAGTTGAGTCAAATAGATGAGATCGATATGTGCCAGCAATGGGTGAAGAAGAATAGGGTGTTAGGAGCAATCCCCAAGATAAATACTGTTGACGAGGGGAAGGTGCCATTGCTGCTAAGAGAGATCAAAGGTTATAAGTCAGAGAGTGGTGGCTTAACTAAGAGAGAAAGTGAAAGAGAAATATGTAGTGTAGTAATAAACGATTCTCATGAGAAAAGTTTAATTATAGAGCAGGATTTTGATCAAGAGCTTGAGGCGCTGTTGATACAGCAATTGGAGAGAAACTTTAGTAGGAATTTAGATAGTAGTGTATATTATACGGATGGGTCTTTGATTAGAAGTAGTGTAGTTTGTAGGATGGGTGCAGGATGGGTGCAGGTAGACAAGTTGGAGGAAAAGGTACTTGAGGAGGGAAAAATCAGAGTTGGGAAATGGCCATTGTCAACAAAGGCCGAGCTAGTTGCAGTATTAATGGTTGTGTTGATAGTTAGGTGCAGAAGTGAGGTAGTAGTCAAATTAGATAGTGCTGCGGCAATTTCAAGTCTTGAGCATCAATGGCAGTTTACCAGTTCTGACGGTACTGAGGAGAAGAAAACCTGAAGTATATGCAGATAATACATGTATAAGTTGCAAGTGTGCAAAAGAAGATTCTGACCATCTAGTAGTGTGTACGGGGTATACCATTTACTGGGATAGTGTAGAGAAGGTTGCATGCTTACTCGCATGGAAGAAGTTAGACCATGCACATAAGCGGGCAAGATCTGTTGATAGGTTCGGTCTGGTAATTGGCGGTGCTACAACTGAAAAGAGGTTCAAGCAGAGAAGAGACTATATAAGAGGGCTTATACCCGATGATGTGGTGGCAGAATTGTTAGGTTTGGAGCTACCTAAAAGGATTGTAAACCTAGCACTTGGTAATTACGCAGCACTTGTAGAAAGTAGTTTTCTCGATGAAATTTGGCGAATCAGATATAATGCAGTTGCTGAGTAGGAAAAAGAAATTGGTATAGATACAGCAATGAAGAGAAGTAACCCGAAAAGCACTGCCAAAGAGAGTGCCATTACCGATAAAAGTTCAACATCGAGAGTCGGGAAAAACAAGAGTAAAGGTGTGACGAGCAGTGTAGTTGAGTCAACAAGTAAGGCGAAAGAAGCAGAAGTTATACAGTTGTTTGAGGAGGGTGTTGCTGAATGGGTTAAGAATGGTTCAACCCCTTTTTGGTTTAGTTCTTGATAGAGCTGACAAGGTCTTCCAACCCACATGTGG